CGAGTTCAAGTACGTTTATTGAGACAATAAAATACATCTCACAGGGATAGAGTAGCTTAGGCTATTTCTACCCTCATCATATGACGCAAGATTGTCATCAGTCTCCTTCCTACTCATGCTAAGGTGTCACCCTTCCCATGTTGGCTGCATTAGCGAATACCCTTTCCTTTCTCTCGCTCCTTCTTCACATTACACCCCTCTATCCTACTCCACTATTTATTTCCCCTCCCATCTTTCCTCTCTATAGATGTTCGTACAGACCTTCCTCTGTCTACGCGAGTACGGCTCAGTGCAGTACCCAGTAGGCCTAAACAATGATTACTCGAGTCTCCCCTGGCATTGATATGTAAAACAGAATATGGGACAATTCACTGTCACCAGATCTCAATCTCGAAGAGCATAGGATTTCAGCCCGTCCCAGACTGCCAGTGATCATGTTGGAAATTCGATCTTTTAAGTAATTCGCTGGGAGCGTAATTTGGGTTTTTAATGTAACTGTGAAATCCAATATGCATTCGGTCGCAAGTGAATGCGACAGAATACCATTTTTCTTTCACCCTGGTGTCCTTGTTCACCTAGCAGTAAATATGTACCTATTATTTAGGTATTATACGTACCGTAAATACGTACCATTACAGCTGCTGCGGGCTGCTTCCTGGGGATGTGTGTGAAAAATGTGTAGTAGACATAATAGAGGTTAGAATAAAATTGGTTAGAAAGGCGGGGCACAAGAGCTAATAGATCGATTCTGCAGATACAAATAGTAAATAAACACCTCTTTGACTACCTTCCCTTGTTCAGCATTTCTTAGGTTTTGTCACTAACCAATCAGCTGGTTGATACCTGGTTGATGGGGTTCTGGGAGTTCTTCTACTCCCCAAACCCGGCCCGAGGCCAGGCTTGACTTGTGAGAGTTTGGTCCACTAGGCTGTTGCTTGGAGCAGCCCGCAGGCCCACATACCCACCACAGCCCGGTTGGTGCGGCACTCCTTGGAGGAATAAATCTAGTTTCCTCTTGAAGATGTCCACGGTTGTTCCGGCAATATTTCTTATGCTTGCTGGGAGGGTGTTGAACAAACGTGCACTTGCAATCACCTTAAACACCTCGCATCTTAATATCAAACCTTAGCCAAACTCTTGAAATAAACAGAACCACAATATACAAACCAACCATTACGAAGGAACACTACATAAATTTATAATAGCAGCGTCTACTTATTCTTGAAGAGACTACATATAACTGAACCCACGCGTGTGACCACCATTGTGAAACATAACCGGGTTAAAATTTAATGCAAAGCTCAAGCTGAAGCTATTACCCGATTCCAAGCTTGCAATTATCAGCTTCATTACTTATTAAACCCGTGTGTGTGTGTGTTGAATCGTGTCCCATAAGGCAATAGATATGTTTCTATAATAAATAAACTTGAGCGTGATGTCCTTTGAGAGCCGGAGTGGTCTTACGGGGTGACTTAATTATATTGCGGTTTTAGGTAAGGCGATTATTTTCTTTCTCGATCATGCATTGCGTGTCGTAAAGTGTAGCAATAAGTAGCACCGTCAGTCTTGCGTGTGCTCCTGTGTACGTAGCACCGTCAGTCTTGCGTGTGCTCCTGTGTACGTAGCACCGTCAGTCTTGCGTGTGTTCCTGTGTACGTAGCACCGTCAGTCTTGCGTGTGCTCCTGTGTACGTAGCACCGTCAGTCTTGCGTGTGCTCCTGTGTACGTAGCACCGTTAGTCTTGCGTGTGCTCCTGTGTACGTAGCACCGTCAGTCTTGCGCGTGCTCCTGTGTACGTAGCACCGTCAGTCTTGCGTGTGCTCCTGTGTACGTAGCACCGTTAGTCTTGCGTGTGTTCCTGTGTACGTAGCACCGTCAGTCTTGCGCGTGCTCCTGTGTACGTAGCACCGTTAGTCTTGTGTGTGCTCCTGTGTACGTAGCACCGTCATTCCTGGGTGTGCTTCCGTGTACGTAGCTCCTCAATCTTGCATATCTTCCCGTGTACGTAGCCCCTCAATCTTGCATATCCTCCCGTGTACGTAGCCCCTCAATCTTGCATATCCTCCCGTGTACGTAGCCCCTCAGTCTTGCATATCCTCCCATGTACGTAGCCTCTCAATCTTGCATATCTTCCCGTGTTTGTTGCTAAATAATATTTTCCACGAAGTGTTTGAAAATAATTTTGCAATGCTTTTCGACGAAATCTAAAACTAATTATTATAACAGTCCATCCCCAAAAATGATGGAAACTTTTTGCTGTTGAAATTGAAATAAATTTATTGAGGTAAAATATACCCAAAGGGATGAGGTAGCTCAAGCTATACTCACCTTGTTCAGTACAACGTGTTCATACATATATAAACACACATCACAAACAATAAACATATTGTTTTGCTGTGTTGGATGGAATATACAAAATCTCGACTGTTGTACCCCCTAAAAAATGCTCTTGTTTTGGGCTATTGGAAATTTTAAAGGGTATTACAAAGTATGAAAGTTACATTAAACCAGTGCTAGGCCTAAATTAGAAATCCTAATCTTGACAAGTAATCTTAGAGGTAATTTAGTATATGTAGATGTATATTCCTTATATGTATATATTGAAAAGTTAAGTGTGGTTGTTGTTTCCTTAGTTTTTCTTGGTCCAATTAAATTTAATAGTACGAAAGGCGGAATTTTATGAGCTGCATCAGTTTATCTTTTGTATAGTCGATCCGTATAAAGTAAAGATACTGCAATGTTTTGGTGTCCGTTTGATGTCATCAATAGATACCTTAAAAGAGAGAATTAAGGTTAAGTAGAGCCTAGGGATACATTCAACAAGAGTTTACTCTGCTCGGTATATCTACACCGAGTTTAATTTAGTTTCGAATAATATTCAGTTTTACTCTTTGGTGAATAAGCAATTGTGGCGACTTTAGTAACTTTGAAGTTATTCGTAAGCTTTAAGCCCATCACTGAACCAGATGTATGGATGGGAAGATGTATGCAGACGAGGAGTCACAATAACGTGGCTGAAACATGTTGACCAAACCACACACTAGAAATGAAGTGACGACGACATTTCGGTCCGTCCTGGACCATTTTTAAGTAGATTGTAAGAGATTCTCAAGAAGATGTGTGTTTGTTCGCCTCGTTTTCAGCTTGCTACAAACAACCCAACTGATGTTCAATTCCAGCTATATCATATTTTTGTGTAGCATTTAATATGTCAGATCAAACTACCGAGCCTTGGTCTAAATATATGAGTATATCCGAAAGATTTGATTGAGCAATTACAGGGGAGACTATATACAGAAATGAAGTCTTTTTTCTCCGCGTTTTAACCAAACAATATACACATCGTAAACAGCTAACTCTGCTTAACTGTGCACATTATAAATCATTACTAATAAAATTGCGACATTTTATGACTAAACTCAACAACTATCACTCCACAAACATTACATATATCGCATTGAAAATCATACCACGACGGTCTTTTCAACTCCATAATACCGTAAAATATATCTCATGTATCCAATACAAGCTGATATATTTTTCATGTCTAATAGTGTTGAGGGCTGGCACTGCTCCGCGCTAACACTCCCGCCTACAACACATACATCACCACAATATATTATATATATAAACCCCAACACGCACAAATGTGATCAGTTTCATAATCTTCGCTCACGGGGGATAATTTTTCACAATGATGGTTTGATCAGTCACAAATGTCAGGGCAAAATTAATCACTGAGTTTCGTGCAGAGATGGTCAAGGTAGAGGGCAATTCGTGGAGTAAGGGGAAGAAGACTGGTCGAGGTGACGGAAGGTAATGTAAAGACAATGTCTTATCAGCTCAAGTTACAGCTCCGCTCCTGTGCCAGGTAAGTCCACTACGGGCTCACCATAGACCGTGCTACTTGGAGCTTTTTGATCCGAGTAGCTGGATCTAAAACAACAACATATCAGCAATTTATGCAAAATAATCGCCATTGCCACTGATCTGTAATTTAGTGCCTCCTGGTTGTCCCCCTTTTTTAATACTGGAATCACATTTGCCTTCTACAAGAATTTTTACAAGAATTTACAAGATGGGAAGGTTTAGGGGGAGTGTGGATGATGATAAGGTGTAGGGGAGTGTGGATGGTGATGGGGGAAGGTGTAGGGGAGTGTGGATGGTGATGGGGGAGGTATAGGGGAGTGTGGATGATGATGGAGGTGTAAGGAAGTATGGAGGAGGGTAGGAGACACGAGAAAGTGTGCAGAAGTGCATGGGTTTAATTAAGTAGATTAGGTGGATGTTAGTGAGAGAGAGAGAGATGATAAAGTGGAAGAGATATCCCCCCCCCCCCTCACTACAGCCATATGAAGGGGAGCGTAAGATGGGCGTATGTAGCAAATGGAGTCCCGCCCCACAGCCAACAATTGTACCAAACCACACAAAAGTATACGATTCAAGATAATATAAAAGCTCGTGGAGAAATTTAAGAAAATTAAACATAAATTCCCGCAACAATAAAAGCGGCCATAAAGGCGTAATCTCGTGCATCGAAGTACATACATGTATATCATAATGGTACGGGTGCGCTTGTGCCCCTCTTGCACCACTACTACGGTTACCACCACTACCACAGTCACCACCAACTTTTATATTTTTACCATATCATTTTTATAAAAACATATCACCACCAACATTTCTAACACCATCACACTATATTACGAACACTATTCCTACAACATCACACTATGGAACTCCACCGTCAACACACTACCAAGATTTCGAGGTGGAAGACGGAAACGAGAGGAGTTCCTCAAGGATCTATCTTGGGACCACTATTGTTCTTAATTTATGTGAACGACCTACCCGAGGGTCGCGTCCGCGTCTAACAGCCTGGTTGATCAGTCCGGCAACCAGGAGGCCTGGTCGACGACCGGGCCGCGGGGACGCCAAGCCCCGGAAGCACCTCAAGGTAACCTCAAGGTAAGGAGGGAGTGAGCTCGTACATGTCCATGATGGCAGACGACGCAGTGGTAACGAGGAATGTAAAACTCGATAACTGCAAAAATTTACAGTGTGACTTTGACAAGACTCCATCAGTGGGCAAACAAATGCCACTAGACTTCAATCTCAGCAAGTGTAAAGTAATGAAGATGGGAGACAGGAGACCACGAGGCGTCTGCACCACAAGGAGAGGGTAGCTACAGGTATCGGACAAAGTAAAGGTTTTGGAAGTGCATATAATTTTAATATAATTTCCAGAGGCACACTTAACAGGGTACTATCGACAGCATACAGGAGGCTACTGGAATATGCAGCACCGGCCGGAATCCGCACCTTGTGAAGCATAAAACCAAAAACTAAAAAAGTACAAAGATTTGCAGCTAGACTGGTGCCAGAGCGAAGAGGGCTAAGCTATGAGGAAAGGTTAAGAGGACAAGACCTCACAACCCTGGAGGAGAGAAGGAACAGAGGGGATATGATCACAACTTACAAGATACTGAGGGGACGTGAGTGAAGTTGGAAACATTGATGGATCGAATACATGTAAGGAAATACTCGTACCTTGTACAGGTGATCAACAAGTGGAATGAACTGGAAGAAGTAATGGAAGCCACCTTCATCCACAACTTCAAGGGAAAAGACAACAAGGGATTCGAACGTCAGAATAGTTCAATTGTAACACAACTGGTACAATACAGCCAAGTAGCCAGGGCATTAGGAGCTAGACCTCGCTGTTGTTGTTGTTTTAGATTTAGCTACTCAGAACGAAATGTCCATGTAGCACGGGCTATGGTGAGCCCGTAATAGACCTCTCTTCCCCGTAGATACAGAGAGGCAAGTCCTACTACCACGGGGACACTGACACTACACTCACCACTACAACACAAGGGAACATTACACCCAACCATGCCCGTAGTATATCACTATTATCACCCACGGTCCGGCCCTTACACTCCCGGACAATTGGCAATATATTTTCAAAGATTCAACTGATCTCAGCTGAATTCACGGCGTCATTTCAAGCAACATTCTCTCATATTTTCTTGCTGGGGGACTAATATATTTATTTTTCATGGCCTTAAGTGTCGCACATTTTTAAAGATACGTCGCATTGTCTTGCTCATTCTGAATGCATTTGTTTATAAAAGAGACTTAGTACGCTGTGTTTGGGTACGGTGATGTGGACGTTTATCGCTTAACGAAGCACCGGAACCTGTTTGTTACCGAATGTGGGAGACATTGCTATCTGGAGTTTAACTTTTCATATTGACCTCAGTAGTTTTGGATAAAATAAGTGTAAGAGATATGTAAAAATAGTCCACTACGGGCTCACCATAGCCCGTGCTACTTGGAACTTTTTGTTCCAAGTAGCAAATCTTAAACAACAACAACAACAATGTAAAAGTATTGAGGATTTAGACACTATAAAAGTGTTCATTACTTTATATAAATTTAACAGAATGGTATTATAGGCTTGTACCATGTTCAGGACTTAGTTATCTTTGCAGGTTCATTAAGAAATTGTGGTGATCTTAATAACCATCCTGAGGTTGATTACGTCTAAAATGTAACTAAAAGTAGACCACGAAGCGTACGCTGTTTCTCCGCGTGTATTGATAGTATACTTTAAGAGGTTTACTAAGAACATGACAAACGTACAGCTGGTGGTTGGTTAATAACTATTGTGGTGACCACGATAACCTTCCTGCGGTTGATAGGGCGAAGGGTTTTGGCCAAACTAAACGAGTGCAGTACGTGTCTGTGCTTATAGTGGTGTGTGTGTGTGTGTGTGTGTGTGTGTGTGTGTGGGGTGTGTGTGTGTGTGGGTGTGTGTGGGGGGGGGGGGGGTCGGTGGTGGTAATCTTGCAAGTGCTTATCTTTCTGAAGTATTGTCCTTTGTCAGTGGCTAGCATACCCCCCCCCCCCCTCTCCATCTCTCTCTCTCTCTCTCTCTCTCTCTCTCTCTCTCTCTCTCTGCGAGTACAGAGCATTTTACACCAACAAACGAGCGTGTAACTACCTCAACCCAGTAATTTGTCATCAATCAATTTCCATTCATCTACTTCAATCAAGGTTTTTCAGGGGCAACATAACAGCAATTTCCAAAGCGTTTTAAGCTATTGAAATGTGAGAGAGTGAGAAGAAACACAGAGAGCATCGTCCTCCCACCCTCCTTTGTTAATATGTTAGTGCTAACACCACACACACAACATCTTATATTTTATTTAACTCAATACAAAGTATTTAATAAATAGAAATGATTTATGGAACAAATTACTGGGTGATATAATAGTGGGATAAGTAATGAGGTAGTATCACCTTCTCTGGCATGTGATGGGGAACTCACTAATGCCCAAAATAATATTTTTTAGAAAGAAAAAGGGATTCAAAAGGAGTTATTTTGCCCCAAAATAAAGTATTCACGGATTTTACAATCATTCATTGTTGCAAAATGTTCTTGCGCAGAGATAAATATCCAAGAACCAGACCAAATTTCCATACATAACACATGAAACATGGCCTCCGTGTACCCATATATCCACCTCCCTCTATGGCAGGGTAAAACTCGCCAGACATTTCCATAGACATCGACAATCATCCATAGACACCCAACTACCTCTGTCAGGGCGGCGGCATCTTCCCTATCATTCAGTGGGGGCGACGGGCGCTCCTTCCCTTTGTTATCTAATGATAAAGAAACAATCCCATCTACACGAGACATGTCCGGAGGACCCCAGGGACACGGGCCACTCCGGAGGACCCCAGGGACACGGGCCACTCCGGAGGGCCCATGGGAGCCAAGCCACTCCGAGCTCTCCAGTAATACAGGCCATATCGTTACCATTCCTTTCTCTTGAATGAAAACACAGTCAATTGTTGCTCTGTAAGTGGATGAAGCAGATATTATTTATTGCCGTCATTGGTGGTGGTACGTGAAGGGGCGGGGGACTGCCCGGACAGAGGGAGGGGGTGATGAAAAAGAGGATGGGGTGGATAGGGGGTGATAAAGAACTGGAATAAAGAAGAGAAGCGGACTAGGAGTCAGTTTGCCAGGATCTGTGTGATATGGAGGAGGAGAAGGAGTAGGCTTCTGTCAACATGGAAGTATATTCCCCGGTGTTTTTCTCTCTCTCTCTCTCTCTCTCTCTCTCTCTCTCTCTCTCTCTCTCTCTCTCTCTCTCTCTCTCTCTCTCTCTCTCTCTCTCTCTCTCTCTCTCTCTCTCTCTCTCTCTCTCTCTCTCACATCCTCAGCTGCCGCGGCTTTGTTACAGTTTTTTCTCAGTTTCTGTTGGCGATAAATCTCTCAGTTCGCGTGAACTGCGGAGCAATTTCATTTCTCGTTTTCTTTCTCTCCCAGAATGGTCTGCAACAATTGTTCTCTGCCTCCTTGCATACAGCACGGACTATATATCGTTGTTGGATTCCTTGACCGTATAAAGTTCATCTCGGGACGTCAACTAACATTCACCTTGTTGAGGTATTACATCTTGGTAATTGTCTGTCTCTCCAGAATAACACAAATACGAATATGGTACACTGGATATGCTTACTTTTGTAAAAATAAAACAAAAATCTGGCTATATGAATGTTCGAGGTTTAGGACCAGACGCTTGGGGTCCGAACTCAACTGGGGTGATCTGTGATTGCATGGTGAGTGTCATAGGATCGTTGGGGTCAACCCCAAGCCCTACTTTAAGTAGGATTGGCTCCTAGCCCGCCAAACACACACCGAAACTACGACGTTGGTACAACGTTGGAACAAGTTTTAACACTTCCTAACCAGTTATAACAACCAATATAGCAAGTTGTAACAACGTTCTAATACGTCATAAACACGTTAAGCCAAGATTTAACAACTTTATTACAAGTTGTAACAAGCGGAAAATAGAGACAGTTTCGGTTTGTGTTTCCAGGGCTGTTGCGTCAAACCAATGAATCCCATGAGTTCTGAAATATCGGTTTGATTGTCCATAGAGTGTTTTACTGATACTCGATAGTCCAGAGTCCATGAATATATGTTATTATGCAGGCGATGAGTCACAATAATGTGGCTGAAATATGTTGACCAAACCACACACTAGAAAGTGAAGGGACGACGACGTTTCGGTCCGTCCTGGACCATTCTCACAATCGACTTGAGAATGGTCCAGGACGGACCGAAACGTCGTCGTCCCTTCACTTTCTAGTGTGTGGTCTGGTCAACATTCATTGTTTAATGTGTGTGGCTGTTAGAATATATTCTGTAATTTTCCATTATCTTTCTCTTGGAGAAAATTTCATCAAATTGACTATTTTGCTTGTACTTCAGAGGCCACGGAGATGGTCAGTGTTCGGTCAACCTGGTGGCCGATGTTAGAGGTCTATGGCTGCTGCTGTGAGAACTTTTCAATGCCAAAATAACAGGTGAAACTTGATGCCAGATGTTAATTATCGATATCGTAGTTTACACCTCTCATATTGTAGGTTATACTTCACTTATAGTGGTTTACACACACACTGGACGCTGGTGGTTGAGTGGACGACACGCTGGATACGTAGTCCTGGGGTTCGATTTCCGGCGCCGGCGGAAACAGATGGACAGAGTTTCTTTCACCGTGATTGTTCCTGTTCGCCTAACAGTAAATAGGTACCTGGGAGTTAGACAGCTGCTACGAGCTGTTTCCTGGGGATGTGTGTATTAGAGATAAATATATGTAATAGACATAATAGAGGAAAAATAAAATTGGTTTGAAAGGCGGGGTCCAAGAGCTAATAGCTCAATTCTGCAAATACAAATAGTAAATTCACACACACACACATTAGGTTGACAAATGGAATACATTAGGCAGTGATGTGGTGGAGGCTGACTCCATACACAGTTTCAAGTGTAGATATGATAGAGCCCAATAGGCTCAGGACCTGTACACCTGTTGAGAGGAGGGACCAAAGAGCCAGAGCTCAACCCCGGAAGCACAATTAAGTGAGTACAATTAGGTGAGTACGCACACACACACACATATATATTATACCACATATGTCAGGCCAATCCTGGAGTATGCAGCCCCAGCATGGAGTCCATATCTAGTCAAGGATAAGACTAAACTGGAAAAGGTTCAAAGGTTTGCCACCAGACTAGTACCCGAGCTGAGAGGTATGAGCTACGAGGAGAGACTACGGGAATTAACCCTCACTTCGCTGGAAGACAGAAGAGTTAGGGGGGACATGATCACCACATTCAAGATTCTGAAGGGGATTGATAGGGTAGATAAAGACAGTCTATTTAACACAAGGGGAACACGCACAAGGGGACACAGGTGGAAACTGAGTGCCCAAATGAGCCACAGAGATATTAGAAAGAACTTTTTTAGTGTCAGAGTGGTTGACAAATGGAATGCATTAGGAAGTGATGTGGTGGAGGCTGACTCCATACACAGTTTCAAGTGTAGATATGACAGAGCCCGATAGGCTCATGAATCTGTACACCTGTTGATTGACGGTTGAGAGGCGGGACCAAAGAGCCAGAGCTCAACCCCCGCAAACACAACTAGGTGAGTACAACTAGGTGAGTACACACACACACACACACACACGAGCTGTGTGGCTGTCCCTGGGAGTCTCTGTAAACATTATAGCGTTGGTTATGGAGAAGAAAACATGTGTGAAATTCTCTCTTCTGGCTCTCTCTCTCACGCCTTCACCCTCTCCTC